TCGACTGCCGTCAAGGAGCTACCGCAAGTTACGGTCGTGAGAACGGCTCTAAAAATAAGGCAGTAAAGAAGCCATTGTCGATGATTGAGACTGGGATTAGCATTTCGGAGAGGATACGCACCCCGTAGCGATGGCGGTCAGCACTGGGCGAAGTTCGTTCTATTATAGTTTCTAACAAATAAATATGTGACTCGCCTCTGATGTTGACGTAGTACGCTTTTTGGCATATAGCGCCTGCAATTTCTCCAAAGATACCCTTGGCGTAGCTAACGACATTGGGGCACAAGCGCTCCGGGAACTTGCGACCTGATTCCATCAGTACTCTGCCTCGTCAGCAGTATACAACGGACGAGTGGAACTTTTGCATGTGCTGCTGCACCTTGCTGGAGTGGGGACTTTGAAGTAATAAGGTCACAACGATCACTCACTTTTATAACTGGTTGCTATTAAATGCGACGGCACGTTGGGTGTTGAAATTTTGATCGCGTCATGACCACGTGCGCCGGTACCTCGCGTTTGCTTCCGAAGCTTCGGTTTTGGTAGCTTGTCTGGAGATCTATCTGACTGTCTATCTTCAACTCTAGTACTAGCACGTCCGCGTCAGCGCTCACTACGAGCATCGGTCAGAGGCAATACCCAGGGCTGATGGCGATTACTTCGCGCCATCAAAGAAAATACACGGCTTTCCTCTTCAAATGTTTCCTACTGCACGACCCACCGCAGAATGCTCAAAGCTTTGCCGTCTTCTCACGTAGGCTCATCTCTATGCTACAATTGACTCGAGCCTCAGGCCTCAGGATTCGATTATCAGCAAAACCCCGAGTCCTTGTGATTTGAGACGAATACTGCCGAGATTTTCTATCCGCACTAGTATTGTTGGCAGGTCAGGTACGTGTGTTGTTCTTTCGAAATGGGTGTCGCCAACTGCAACCCTGCTCGCTTCTTTTCCCAGACATACCTTTGGGCCAGCGATCTGAACAATGACCTGGAAGATCCTGTGGGACTGAGTTAGGAGTAATCAGTTCTTTTGCGGCCTCGCTGATTTCGAGTGCAGATGAACTTGATAGGCACGTCTACGGTATACTATTTTCACTGATCTTCTAAGAGTAGGCCGCAACACGTTGACAAGAACACGCGTCTCTTGGTTGTGGATTTGTCCGTCCTCCGTCAGTAGGTTCCAGACTGGGGGACTGGGCAATTTTTAGCCGCCATTGATGCTGGAGAAGCAAGACGGATGGGGTACCAGTCTCTTGAACGTTTCCTTCGACATTGGGATGATGGGGTCGTCGCAGATGGATTGGTAGCAAAGGTGCACGTGCCTCTTCTTTCGCTTGACGTTGCTCTAATTCTGTGTCTATTCAGGTTGTACGAGATCTGCGAGTGAGGCTCTATCCTGCACACCGCCTTGCAGTTAAGGTTTACACTCTTTGCCGTGGACCTTCCTCTTCTGCGCCTCTCGTACCGATTAACCTTGTAACCAGCCCATCAACGCTGTGTCCGCCGTACCAGATGCTGATTGTGCTTTCGAGACCTAGGGGAAATCAGGTCCTCGAGGCGAGTGGCAAATCTTTTGTTGATGTTGATTAACGGGGTTTTGCTTAGACTCGAGTACCGGGTACCTCGGATTGTTCATTTGTTTTCCATCGCAGACTGGTGGTAGGCTTCCCCAATGCAAGCGATGGCGTGTGTAGTGCACAAGAAGCAAATGTAGCGACAGATTGTCTTTTCTTTCCTTGACGTCGTTCTAATGCTGTGTCTACAGGTCTACTGAACTTGGCTTTAAGTCTTGCCCTGGCCTCTGGCGTACGATCACTGATGATTCTGGTGGGACTATTCCGGGTGTCAGTCTGTCTGCACTACCCTCCCATGTCATTCTCACATTCAATGCCATCTTACGCGCAAAGATTCAAGTTGGCACTGTCCTAGCCTGAGTGAACTCCTCTTCTCTCGGACAGGTCTTTTTGGTACACTTTCCCATTATGCATTACATCTCTCCAAAAGGTTCTTCTAATGGACCGTCTTGTACTCTTGACGTCCTGTCGACCCTACCGTTGGTGTCAATTAGCACTCCTGTTTTTTTGTGCTATATTCAAGGTGATAAGTTGTTCTGCACCAATCTTTATCTCAAGGTATGATAGCGCATCGGGACCGCGCAAAGAGCTTGTTCGATTCTGGCTCGTACCATAGTGCACGGATATAGATAGATCTTTTTTTTCACGCTCTCGCTGTAATGCTGGATTCTGTTACGTATTTCTTAGTAAAGTTCGGCAACCTAATAATCCCTCTTAGCTTAGCTGGTAAAGCGCTACTGAGTCGTTCAAGTCGGCTAGAGGGAATGTATTTCCTCCACCTCCGTATTTTTTGTGATCGGTGATCAATTCTCTGACTTGGCTCAGATGAATCAGATGATATCTTTAGCAGAAATACATCTTTCTCCACTCCCATTGACAGTTACTCTACAAACGAGAACAAGGATGCACGGACTTCCTCGACGTTCAGGTCTTCAAGTTCTTCCACCTCGTTACTCCTCACATGTCCTGACTTATTGGGCCGTGTTCTTATGGAGGAAGGTGGGATTTCCTGACGGAGAAGCATCTTTTCTTTCCCTCAACGCTGGTCTACTGAACCTGGCTTTACTTCTCGCCCTGCTCTCCATGGATCTCGGCCTACGCTATTAGTACCCATTCGCTGGACGGAGTGCCGAGCATGTCAGTTTATCTGCCGGTCTGGTTCTTGAATCCTTCCATCTGTCCTTCTTTGGCTTCTATTACTCTCCCGTATGAGATCTCCATCAGTTCTTAGACTCGCACGTTCAGGTGGGCACAATCTCAGTTCTCCCGCTTACTACGCACGTTCATATTATACCTATGCCCTGTCAACTGTACACTAGCCCACAAGATCTGTTAACAGCACTCAGCGCTATCTCACGACGCGATGGTTCATCGGGAACTGTGCAAAGGGCTTGTTCGATTCCGGCCCGCGCCACTGGCATGGGGTACCTTTCCGGATAGTCTTTTTTGATTCTTCTGTTGCCATGCTGAGGTGTATTACTTGTATTCCGGCTTATCATTAGTCCCTCTTAGCCCCATTGGTAGAGCGTCTCACCAATCCGATAGTCGTTCAAGTTGACTAGAGGGAATTCTCTGTAATTGCAATTTTTTCCAAGTTTTCGAGATCAAGACCCTCAACAACAATGTCGCTACTTGGGTCATACGCTCGTTTTGGTTGTAAAAGTCGAGTGTAAGCAGACCATGGGATTCGTGGATGCACCTTCTTTGTTCGACCCGATGCCAAGAAATATTTGTGACAAACATATATCGACGCCCTGCCATTCTTAAAAAGTTGGACCGGTAAGATCGTCTACTGTTCAGATTCGCGTTCCTTACCTGGAGCCAGGAGAAGATGATAGCTGAATGGGGTTACATTTTGGTTGCTCACAGGTTTGTTTGAGTACTAAGGCCTGATTGGCAAGTTATTGTTGCGAATGCTAATGCGGACAGGATTGGTATCGAACGAGACGAAACATTTGGAGGGAAATATTTGGGGGAAGTTGAAGAAAAGTTCGACTTCACTTCACGCGTTTAGATCACATGGTCGCAAAGTGGACCGTGGGAAAGGAAGTACTCTCATCCTCGTTCCATCTTCATCGACCACCCGACCTTTGATATTCGGCTATCGCTGACAGCCCTAGACAGCGGTCTGCTTTGCAATTCACATCCGCCTCCCGCGCACGAAGGGTTTGATTCGGATTAACCAACGTCTTGGCTCCAGGTTGTCAGGATTGGCGGGAAGGAATGCCCAAGTCGGACACAGTGCGTTCATTGCTCTTTTGGTGTTTGTGTATCGCTGACCTTGTGCTCTTCAGCTCCCTTGCCTCAGTTCCTGAGCTGTGCTTTTGCGTGGAGCAAAACGAACCTGGAGGATGCTATGTGATTGGTTGATTGATCCATGGAATCGCTGCCGACGGAGGACCGGTAATGGTAAATGAGGTACGATTATTCACGTCCTGCTGGTTCCATGTCTGCAGTTATCTAAACGTTCAGTGTTCCAGGAAAGAATGACAATCCCAATCAAATCAGGATCTCTTACTGTCACTCCCATGAATGGTCTCGATGAAACTGGCATGACGAGAATTATGGACGGATATCAACGTAGCGGTAGTAGGTGCTTCTAGTGTGAATTCTTTCTATTCATCTTCTAAGCCTAGGCCCGCAGCACGCCGACAAGTGGATGTGTCGGTCATCCGTAAACGCGCTTAAAATCGGATATCCAGCGACCGCTGGGATCGGATTGAAGTTGACTGGGGTCCAGGGAGGGTGGATGCAGCGCTGGGTGGTACCATTACGTGCGCCCCTTCTTTTACTTGACGTCAACCTAATTGGTCAACCTCAATGTAGTGACTCGCCGTCAATGGCGTCATTCTCCAAGTCGGAATGGAGGATATCGACGATGGTGCTATCTGTAGTTCTGAGCATGTCATGGTCTATTCATCTATCCATCCATCCACCCGCCTTTCTTTCGCTTCTAGCTCCACTTCCACTGCGCCTCCCGTACAAGATCTATATAACTGTTTTCACATCGTCCGCTTCGCTGTCTCAGAGGCGTTCTCGCTGCTCTCTTCGTCACCCTCTAGACTCTACTGATACTCTTTTTTCTTTTTGGGAAAGACTGTCTGGAGGCGCAGTCTACCGAGTTACGAGCACTTACTCATATTCGTATTATACCTTCTCCTCCAAAATATTCTTCTGATGAATCTTCAGACTCGACTGTTGTTCTCAATTAACACCACATTATTGGGTTACATTAAACGCATTATTGGATGGTCGGATACCTAGCATCCCTCTGCACTCTAGTCGTATCTAATGGCATGATGGCACATTGGGACCGCGCAAAAAGTTTGTTCGATTCGAGCTCGTGCCATTGATAGGAGATAGGATGACATTTTTGCTGCTCCTGCTCTCTTGCTGGGACTAACTTACCGCACTCTGAGTTAATTCTAATCCTTCTTAGCTCGGTTGGTAGAGCTCGTCACTAGTAGTAGCCAAGTGTACCATATTGATGATGAGGTTAGTCGTTCAAGTCGGCTAGAAGGAATTTGTCACGATCATAACATTTTGCCAATTTTAGAGAGTATCCATGAAGTTGTGACTAGGAGTTGCTGCTCCGTGCTCGCCGCTCGGATTGTAGGACCTATAACCGGTTAATGCAGGGTCTTTATTACTTGTCATTGGTCAAGGTTCCTTTCCGGTTTGTCACCGAGTAACAACGAAGCACGGGGTTCGTGGACCCACCTTCTTTGTTTGATCTAAGGTACCGTGCTGCTCAAACGCCTGACTCAAGTCTTCAATGCTATGTCCGAGGAGTAGGCATCTTTCAATGTCGATGTACTATCTACGCCCTGCTCTTCAAGCATCAGATCTCAGAGTCGGCCCTGTAAACCATCTACTGTTCAAATTTGCGTCCCTCTCTAGTCATATAAGAGAGGGAATCATAGATGAATGGGATTCACATATGGGTCGGGCAAGCTTTTATATTATCATTCCGAATCCTAGGTAGAAGTTGACGTGGATGGGACGAAGACTCAGACTGCTTCTACCGTGTTCAGATCACATGGTCGCAAATGAGCCGTGGGAAAGGAACATCAGCAGATTGGGAAAAAAGTTTCCGGGGCTTGCGGCGACCACGGTCCGGCAGAATCCTTATTCGCCTTGTCAAGGCCTCACAGAGTCCATATAGCCGGGGCACAATGTTGCGTCCTTTTCATATGCTATTAGAACCTCACAGAATAATAACTTAGCCTTCAAAATTACATACAACTATTTCCAGCTCGTATATCACTACTATAAGCTCAATAAAATGTAGTCTTGCCTCTGCAGACTGAGTGTATTTGATTCTGAAAAGCTTAGGTGCCCAAAATGACGAAAGATTTAAATGTACTACGAGCCGGCAAACCCCATATCTATGATGTCAAGACGGTAGTTCAACCTCTGCCTTGGCGTCTTCTTCGGGACGCCCCTCACCATCGTCGTCATCACCTTCCTCTGAATGTTCTTCCATAGTGGCTTCATCGTCTCATCTGGTGGTCCCCGTTTTGTTTGTGCATGCCTGCTTAGATTTATTTCGACCCTGTATTTGGATACTGGCTGCACAGCGGTTCTTGCGAAGTGAGTCCTTCAGATGTAGTACTGCACCACTGAATTTTCAGCCACGCCCTTGGCCTACCTCAGCGGGACTGCTGCAGCAAGGGAGAAAAAGTTCGGTCATTAAGAGAACCAAGCGAGACAGGGTACATGTCGTGACAAAACGAGCATCCGAATCGGAGATCTCGCGATCACCAGATCAATGCTGAACGTGTCATCCTATGCAATGCGTCGTGACATGACACCGCGCGGTCTTACTCTGTTTCCTTCTAAGTTCTCGTCACAGAGCACTACGCGTCCATCCGTCCCACGAGGTTTTCTCCGCATGGTCCATGCATCAGACACCCACCCTACAAGACCGCTTTGCCTCTAGACCTAATCTTCTCCGATGCGGACTTCTTCTTCCGAGCCGGAACTGAAATGTAGTCAGCTATTTCAACATAAATACGGTCCGAAATAGCCACCAAAGTTGAATGCCCCAACGTCTCCGGCAAGATATCATTGCCTCTCCAACCATCGCAAATTCCTCACCTACGCAACTCGTCTCAGGCATCGGTGCGTCCATTTCAAACATTCAAGGTCTTCTGAAGTGACATATCAGTGCAGAGTCGGAGGAGGAAGTGGTCGTGTTGAAAGGTACTCAAGTCAAGAGAGTCAACCGTCACGGTCAGTGAGTTAAATCTCTTGGAATCAGCTCCGTATAGCATCTTAGGGAAAAATTTCAGCCATTAGGGTGCAACCTTCTCCATACAATGTCACCCTTTGATTAATGGTCTGGGTCGCCGTGGAATCGGATGAGTACGTCCGGCACGAACAATTGAAGTAATTCTTACGTATGTTGCAGGGATGTGTGCTGATATCCTTTCTCCTAGCCGTGTCTTCAAGGCCAGAAGAATGCACCTATCTAAGTCCCTTCCTGATGACAGCTCCGGAAAGCGATTGGCAATGAAGAGGTTGAGACGAGGACCTGGACAGCCAGACAACAGGCCATTTGTATAAACTGCATTATCTAGACGTACCTGTATTCTGTTTACAGCAATGATAATAAATTTACTATTTCAAGCTTCTCCGTCTCCAAGAGTGAAAATATTCGTAGTATATGAAGTGGACCCCTAGCTACCTGAGAAGCTATAGAGATCACGAACTCGTTTTACGATGGCGATCATGTTATACCTGTGTATGGTGCCAAGTAATTGTACTAACACCTTTCGAAGCCCGATAAGCATTATCGGCATCAGAAACACTCATAATAATACACGCAGATTACTATTCCTCCATGGTTCATATGGGCATATAAGGCTACCGCAGTTATTTTGGACGTTGCCATGCATTTCGAGCCTTGCTAAGGGGTTATATGGCCATATATATTTCTGTCCAATTCGCTGATGTCAAGTCCTCTGAGTCTTTTGCGCCTACTTCAGTGGTCGATCTTCGGCCCCAGGTTACAGGCTACTTTGCCTGCCTCACATGCGCATTAACCACTTCGTCTTGGTCCCGAATGCTGCCTGGGTCATTGCGGAGGAACGTCCATGTCATGGAGGTGCGTTTGTTGTTCTGCCGGCGTTTGGGTGTCGCTGACTGTAGTCTTTTTGCTTCACAAGTCGACGCATACACATCGGTGTCCTGTGAAACGCAACTGTGCTTTTGAATCGAACCTGGAGGATGCTCTCAAGAGACGTGTATTGCAGCCGGTAGTGGTAAAGGAGGTACGAGCATCGTTTTCTTTCACCTGGACATTTCACTGATTTCGTGTCTGCAGGTCTCTAAACGTTTAGCATCCCTGCAGCCGGAAAAGAATGACAATACCAATGTCCTGCGAATGCGAACGGACTCGCTATATGCAGCTGGCCTCTACCTCATTATGGGATGGAGATGGACACGGTACTAGGTGCGTCTACTGCAAAATCTTTTCATCTGCCTTCTAATGCTGTGTAGCACTACATCAATAAGAATAAGCGGGAGGCCACGTCTCCGATATGGATCACCTCGCGCACCAGACCAAACCTGCATACCATCGATGAGGGATCGGAAAGTTGGACGGAGTCGTACTGGCAGGGAGAATCGGCCCGGTGCATGCACTAGGCAGTCGCGAGGATTGGTGACGGAGGTGCGCACGCTCCTCGTTTGCTTGTCTTTCATCTAATTTTGTATCTGCAGCTCCGTCCGCCATAACTTCTCAGCCGGGTTTGATGGAAGTGTGTACGTGTTCCTTTGAAGTAAGTAGGGGCGATACTCATTGTGGATTTCCGGATTGACAGGCTTACATTTACAAGTTGTGCCTGGGCATCCGCATCACTCCTCTCGACCGCATGGCCCTCCTTTGTATTTGCTCAGATTGTTCCTCATACCAGGGACGGAAAGATCAAGAGAGAACCTCAGCCACGTTCTACATAAAGAGCCGTAGTCGCGGATGGAGGATTGGCGAGTGATACTTTGGTGTGAGTGTCACTCCTTGCGCTTGACGTCGTTCTGATTTTGTGTACCCAAGTCTGCAGAGTATGGGCGTGCTTATAGAGGATTGGTTGAGAACCTCGACCGACACTTTATGGAAGTTCAACTGGGTCTAACTCTGGATGAGCAGTACGGCTAGTACTCTTTCCATTTCGCTAAGCGTGCTTCTAGGTCAGCATCTGGATCCTCCTGCACTACCGTGTCTGCATCCACCTCTCGTGCGAGTTACGTTCAACCTCGGGCCCTCCCACCCGCACGCTGCTTGCATCGCAAGCTGCAGCCTCCGCCTCTTAGATAGGAGGCGTCGTCATCGTCACAAGTCTCTTTTTATATCAGACTTTGGTTCTTTACTGGTCGCATATTATACCTTCCTTGTCTCTACCAGAGCACGACTGTCTACGTACGGTCTTTACGTATTTACAGTCGCACGATTGCCACCCTGCCTCTCTGCTGGCCGGAGCTTCTTCGCAACATTTTTAACAGCACAAGCTATCTTCTTAAATGACAGAATTCGTCCATACTCCTCTACTTATCTATCGGATGGTTAGTCGATTCGAGCGTAAGCAGGATCTCGCATCTACTCGTATGTTGCTTGTTTTCTAGTGTATGAGCACTCCCTCTCTGCTCAGTTGGTAGTGTGCGCCACGTGGAGTGCATAAGGTTCAAGCCCGCTGGAGGGACTACTACTAGTACAAGCTTCAATCTGGATTTTTGTGTTGCAGAACCTTCCGCCGGTGTATTCTCTCCTTACTCTTGGGTAGGTGTTTGTTGAACCTGCCCTCTCTGTTCGATCCAAGGACCTGTTCCAACGTCTCACGTCTTTGTTTCAGAGTTCAATCCATTATGGCTGCCTCTGTAAGCTATGTTTAAATGACGTGACGGATCTTATGAACGCGTCCGATAAATCAAACGTGAACGAACCCTTCATACGTCTTTGGATCCCGGCCTTACTGTACAGTTATAAAAGCTAGAGACCGCACGACCAAAGTATCGTCTCTCTTGACCACGTTGTGCAGTACAGGTTATCACCTACTAGTCGTGTTCTCCTCAGGTTACTGGGAAAAGGTGGTGCATAAAGATCGTACACATCCTTTTTTTTTTCCATTTGCCCTCGACATTGCTCATGTTTTGGGTCTACCGAACACGCGCGAGCTACAGTTCTTTCCCGCCCGGTGTTGGTAAATCTCGGCTTCTGGATTGAGGTGATTATCACCAAATATCACCGCCGTGGCTGGAGATCAGGCATATCCTTGCAAGGCGGACTGATCCTTGACAGTTCCCCAGGTGATTGAACTCGAAGCTATTTGCCTGGCGTCTTCCTCTGCATCCGCCACCGTGTATTTCAAACCACTAGCCTGTGAACCTTACTCGTGCGCCTCCTGTTTCTACTTCCTGCGGTGCCAGTTTATGTAACGTTGAACTTTAGTGACCATCGCCGTGTCCACCCTATCAGTTGACGATGGTCCTCGTCCTAGCTCTGTCGGCAGTTGACATTCTCTTGTTCTATTGCGCGAAAGAAGATACTCCATATTGTGAGACGCGGATGCGACAAATCAGGGGAAGTTGAATGACACGTCGAAGAGAGGATTTTGAAATTTGACGAACCGACGCGTTCAGATCACATGTAGCGCGAATTTGTCCGTGGGAATTTTTAAAAGCATGCCGCGGTCACTGTATCCGGAGCTTTTCGTTGACGCACTTGTCTCTGTTCTACGCTCTATGCGAGTTCCGAACTCACTTTAACACCATGGAGGGTTTGAGCGACCGCGCAGCTCCACCCGCAGCCACCCGAAGCGAATACTACCAGGATATTCTACCCTTGTTGGGGAGTCGGCAAGCCGGACTTAGCCATTATTCTCTGTTCGATGTCCCACTGGCCGTGTTACTACCCGCTTCGAAGTTCATATCAGTCTCACGAAGGATGCAGCACTCCGACTTTGAGCGAGGCGGATATTGTTTAGGAGGCACCGGACACGGTACAGATAGGTCATGGAGGCGTGTTTATTATCCTTTCGGAGTTGGAAGTGTCACTAACTTTAGCTCTCCAGGTCGACGCATTCGTCTTCCTCATCTCTGCCCACTGAACCACACCTTTGCACCGAGCGAATTGAGCCTGGAGAATCCCCTCAAGAGACGTGCATTGATCAATTCACTGTGTGACCCTAGTCGCCAATGGAGGATTGGTGGTTGAACGTTACGTTGATCCTCCGCAGAATGCTCGAAGCTTTGCCGTCTTCCCAGGCCCGTCTCCGTTCTACAATTGGCTCGAGGCCCAGTATAAACTCTGGGTCGTAGTGATTTGCAACGAATACTACAGAGTATTTTCTACCCGCACTAGGATTGCTGGTAAGTCGGGTGCGTGCATTGTTCTTTCGATGTGGGTGTCGCCAACTCCAGCTCTCTAGGTCAACACTATCCGCCGCTTATCCCAATCATACCTTTGCGCCGAGCACTTAACGGGCGTGTACTGATTCCCTAATCGTAGCTGGAGGCAGAGTCAGGAGCAACCAATTTTTTGGCTCATCGATTTCGAGTGCGGACGACTCAGTGGTGGGCGTGTCTATTATATGATCTTTTCATTCATCTTCTAAGTGTAGGCTCACATGCACAGCCCGTCGACAAGAACACGCGTCTCTCAGAAGCGAGGGATATGCACATACGAATGGGTTACCAGTCGCCTGAACGTTTTCTCCGACTGGGGATGAGCTGATAGTCGGATGGATCATAGGTACCAGGTGCGTGCCTCTTATTTCACATGATGTTGCCCTAATTACGTGTCTATTCAGATTGTACGAGATCTGCGAGCCTTGAGCCGCATCCTTCTATCCTGCACACTGCCATGCAGTTTACGCTCTTCGTTGTGTACCTTCCTCTCCCGCGCCTCTTGTACCAATTAAACTTGTAACTGCTATCACCGCTGTGTCCGCCGTACCAGATAATGATTGCGCTTCTGCGACTTATGGGAAATCAGGTCCTCGAGGCGAGTCGCAAATCTTTTGTTGATGCTGGTTAACGGGGTTCTTATTAGACTCGAGCACCGGGTATCTCAGATTGTTCACATGTCTGTCCATCGCAGACGCATATTAGGTTCCTCTGACGTAAGAGATGGTGTGGTTAGAGCACAAGAAACAAATGTAGCGATGGATGGAGGATTAAGTGTCTTTTCTTCCTTTGACGTCGTTCTAATGATGTGTCTGCAGGTCTACCGAACTTGGCTTCCCTTCCCGCCCTGACCTTCGGCCTACGATCAACCGACTATTCGCTGACGACGATTGCGACGGGACTGATTCGGATGTCTGTTTGTCTGGACTCTGCACTACCCTCCCATGTGGCCCCACGCAAAGATTGGCTGTTTCGGCATCCTTGCCGCCGACCTGGCTTGGGTGGGCTCTTTTTTCTTTTGGGCGGAACTGTTTTGGTACACTTTCCTTACTTGTTACGCATGACCTCTCTCCAAAAGATTATTCTGATGGGCCGTCTCGTCCTCTACGTCCTGTCGACTCTACCGTTGCTGTCAATTAGCACCCCTGTTTTGTTCTGTTATACTCAAGGTGATAAGTTGTTCTGCACCAATCTTTATCTCAAGGTATGATAGCGCATCGAGACCGCGCATAGAGTTTGTTCGATTCGGGCTCGTGCCATTAATATGCCATGCGATGACATTTTTGCTGCTCCTGCTCTCTTGCTGGGACTTACTCACCAGACTCATAGTTACCTGTAATCCCTCTTAGCTCAGTTGGTAGAGCGCGTCACTAGTATGGTTTCGGTACATGATAAGTTATGACGAGGTCAGTTGTTCAAGTCGGCTAGAGGGAATGTGCTTACTAAATCGCCTTTTTTTGTTTGTTTGTGGGACTTTGCAATGTAGCCGGGAGGCTACCGCCCTCTTTGTTCTCTGAGGATATGCTCTAACGCCTTTGTGGCTCGCTTCTTCGTACATTTCGAAGTTCAATGCTATCTGATATGTCCATCTCCAACTTCCAAGGAGTAGGTATTTCTTAATGACGTGACGGATCATCGCCAGATCATTGTTGTGATATCATTCTTCAACGTAACATTCAGACCAGATACTTACTCTTTGTTTTTGTGTCTCTGGCCATGCAACTACCGTTTTCAATACGCTGAGAAGACCGAAGTCTGTAGATGAACAGCACTCCCAAAATCCAGTTGGTCGCCTTGTTCAAATTAGTCCTAGTTTGAGATGGGTTTTACTTTATTATTCCAAATCCTAGATAGATGCTGATACGGACCATGGGACTGGTTTGACGAGAGCGGAGGGAAAAGTAGGAAAAAGTTGCCTACCGCGTTCAGATCACATGGTCGCAAAGTGGGCCGTGGGAATTAAAGGAAGGACTCCCTCATTCCGTCTTCTTCGATAACCATTCAGCGCCGTCAGCCATTATCCTCTGTTTGATGCTCGCTCCGTGTTACTGTCTACTTTGGAGCTTCGCATCAGCCTCACGTACACGAAGGAATCGACGCTCCGAGCGACGCAGAGATTGTTCAGGAGGAACTGGGTCATGGAGGTGCGTTTATTGTTCTTTCTGTGCTAGGTGTCGCTAACTTTATCTCTCCAGGTCAACGCATACCATGTTCCTGCTTCTGAGCCCGATGAACTGTCCCCCTTTGCGCCGAGTGAATCATCCTCTCAAGAGACTCGTACATGCATTGATTCATTGTATTGCGCTCGAATCGTAACTTCCGATGGATTGTTGGTAGTGGAGGTATGGGCATCGGATCTTCAAATGTCTTGCTAATTCCGTATCCAGGTCTACTGGTACCCTATGTGGACCGGGCCCGCCCCTCTAAACTGTGACATTTAGCATTCATTGGATGCATGAACTCGGCCGGCCTGCATGAGTCAGCGTTATCTCAAAGTCTACCGCTTGCTTTTCACTTAGCGTCCGACTCATAGCCCAGATTGATCGGCGTTTTTCGTGATCTATACACAGCGCGTTATTCGGTTTGCCTTTCAGTCGGTTTTCGCGCTAAAGTCCTCCCTACAGATCTGTCTCCGTCCGCGCATAAGACTGGACACGATACCAAGTGCTGTGGAGCGACATATGGATTAAGGTTCGTCCATATCATCTTTGTTGAAGGGAACTGACCTATGCATAGACTGATTGACCTGTCCGGCGGCCTTGTGTGGGAACAAGCAAGATTTCTATCGCAGCCTAGATGTACTTTACCAAGTCCCCGGACATGATTTCCAGGTATTTGAACACCTTCGATGGGTAGTTCATCTAACCATCATGTACTCGAAGCTACTTGTCGTAACCCTCGCTGTCGCTTGTGAGATCCATCTCGTCCGCCTCCTAATCATGGAGTCTGACTTCCAAGCTTTATTAGTTGTCGTCTCGGCTACGCCGTCAGCTGATTGGCCTACTGGAGGTGCACCCCCACCGGTGGCAGACGACGTAAGTCTTTTGAAGTTGTATCAGCTATTCAAGCGTTTTGAACCAGAGATTCAGACCGCCTCAGGTAGTGACCCTCGCCCCTCGCACGCCGGTAATGAACGGTCGTTGTACTATGTGCTATGCTGACCATTTTCATTAGTGACACTCGTCGATGACGGTCCTGGCGGGAGTAATCCTCGACCGACGTGGGGTGACAAGCTCTAGGTGGGTGTTCGCTCACGGTCGCTTTAGTGCCTGAACTGATGTGCTCCGTACAACAGGCTTGAGGTACAGAGGCGTGATACCAAAGCGACCTTTGGAGAAGAACCTTATCGTTCATTTCAATGTGATAGGTAGAGTTCGATATGAAAAGTGAAATCATTGCTTTTCAGAGAGTACCAATTATTGCTCGATTCGTCAATGTTGAAACTTTTCGAACCCTCTATGAATTGAGGAATCATCCAGGTCTTCTCGGCGTCTTTAAAATCGAACACGAAGTTCGAGGTAAATCTCCGTCGTGTCTGTTGGAGGATTGGCGGTTGAAGCGCTGCACGTTGAGGTTCAGGGTACAGGCGTTGGATTTTTTTAAGTGGACGTCTTGCCGGTTCCGTCGGCAGGGCTACTGGTACCCCCCTTCTGAATGTTTAGCATTCATTGGATTCATGAACTCAGCCAGCCTACATGGCCAGTGGCCTTCTCATACGCACACCGGCATCTCAAAGCCTATCGTCTGCTCTTCTCTTTGCGCTTGACCCACAATCCAGATCATCCGGCATTTATTGCGATCTATGCACTGTGTTATTCCGCTTGCCTCTCAGTGGTTTTTTGTGCTAAATTTCTCCATCTGCACATGAGACTGGACACAATTCAAAGCGCTGTGTGTATGCATCTAGGTTCGTTCATCATATCTCTGTTGAAGCAGATCCCGCTTTGATGATCCAGCCCTAGGGTTCATCGACCGGGACCTGTGTCTGTCACTTATCCACTGCCTTTTCACCCTCGCGAGTACAGACAGGAGTCCATGTGATGCTGAGCTATGGTACAATTGCTGTAGCATCATGGAGTAACGGCCAATGTGCCTCAGACCAGTTACGTCCTTCCTGGTTCGATTCCAGCGAGTGCTGTGTCATATCACATTCTTCAAGGAGTGAATTTCTTTTTGCCAAAGATGCTTCAGTGGTGCGCAACTGGTTTTTGGTCAGTATTCCTTCCTCAAACGGGATGTAATCCCTGAGGTGAGAGAAGTGCACTTCGTGATGGAAAGCTTTGACCGAGATATGTTTCGAATAGCGATGACTAGGTGCACTAGTCACTAGTCATGCTAGATGGTCGATATCAGTATGTCGCCATTTTCTGGGAATCGGGAAAGTTCGCCGTTACTTCATGCTTTCGTCTTCTCGGGCTCTTTTCCTGGCATATTAATAGGAAGAAGTAAGATTTCTACCAGTCTGGATGCACTGCGGTCTGATTGGTACCATCAAGTGCCTTGATACGACTCCTGGGTATTTAAACGCCTTCGATGTGCTGGTCACACCTAACCATCATGTACTGGAAACTGCTTGCCATATTTCTCACCATCGCTTGTGAGCTCTGTTTCGTCGTCTCCCTAATACTGGATTCTGACTGTCAGGCTTTGTAGTAGTCGCCTCGGCCATGCCGTCGGTCGACTTCCCTGGAGGCGGCGCACCTAGCTTTTCTCAGCGTGTATCCCGAGTCAATCCCAAGTTGTAGAGGCTGTTCTATACAACATGTTTACTCTCTTTATTCGACGTTGTGAGTCTGAGTTCCTTAGGTTAGCTTGGATGTCGCATGCGCACAAAGGACCGCTGTGATAATTTGTACATAAAAAGCACCCGCGAGCTCGCATTTTAGTGATCGCCTGCCGCCGGGGAAAATACATGCAGGTTCTCTTTCCCTCCTTCTCCCATCATCTCGAAGTAACGCTCGCTCTAGGCTCCAACGTAAACCTTTTGGATTTCTCAGTAGGAGGCATAGGGTTGGAGGGTAGTACATCCTCGTGTCTGAGTTTCGCTCGCTGACTTTGGCTCTACAGATTGACCTTTTCTGCGTCTTTATATACAGTCATTTCCTCGATTTGCAACTGGCTATCCCTCTCTTGACCATGCTGGCGCCTTCGGTCTCTTTCGCTACTATGGTAGTCTCGTATCGGAAAACCTAGCTTCGCCGCTGACCAGATACAGAAGCTTCTTCGCTCGCGTTTCCAATGAGGCTTCGACTTGCAATGAATGGAGGGCGTTGACGCCTATTCGAGCATTATACAATGAGGTGGTGCGCGAGAATCTTAGGTGCATTTTCCTAGTAACGTCGGAACATGCAAAGTACGCTATTTCCGACAAGTCCATTGGTGCTCGAGGTAGCCTCGTGCTCCGCACGCACCACTATGCAATTCAAACTCGCCCTCGCAACGATCCTCCCTCTTTCGTGCATTCTTCCCGTCCAACATTTATGCTGACCATTTTCGTTCGTGACACTCTCTACGGTGTTCCCCGATGATGGTCCTGGCGGGACTGATCCTCGAGCGAAGGGGCATGGGAAGCTCCAGTTGGGTATTGGCTCACAGCTGTTTCCCTGACCCGAGTCGATTTGTTAGGCTCGAGATACAGAGGTGTGATCTCCGCCGGCCTTTGGAGAAGAAGTTCATCGTTCATCCTCATGCGACATTTTACACATCAGAGCTCTGCAGACCAAAGGTGTCTCAACCCTTCTTTCCCCGCTGGAGTATCATCAATTTTTTCTCCATAGGCGAAATTTTACCGTCGCGCCTAAGGTTGTCTAAGCACAAGTGAATTAGGCTGTACCCTTTTTTTGCCTAGCATCACCGAGATTGAAACTAAGTACGGCTAACTTCTTACTCTTGTAGTGTATCTAATTCAACATCTGCAGGTCAGTTGGGCTTTGTTGCACCGACGGTTTCAGGTTCCTACTTATCAATGGTTTTTTTTTGTAAATTCGGTGTTGTCATAATCAAGTCATAAACTGTCGAAGGACAGAGTTCTGGACGGGTAGCTACGCTATTATTCTTGCCTCCGTTGGTACCAAGACTAATAAGCATTCACCAGACTATTGTTACCAAGCAAATTATGCGCGACAATTTTGACTCGGCCGAGACACTCTTCCGATGTAAAAACTGTATTGCTACAAGCTCAGGGGTGTCTAACACGGGACTTGTACCTGATCCGTCTGTCAGCAATGGCAGTCACCATCTTCTGCTGTACTCTTCTTTCTGTCACATCCCATAGTGGTATAACTAGGGCTTACTCGAATCAATCGGCACCATTTGTCACAGACATTGGAAGCGTCTCGCAAGGAAATATGCCTCTTAGGCTGGTGATTCGTCAGTAAATACTACTACTAAAGCTACCTACGATGGCCGATTACAGTAATGTGACAAACCAGCCC